CTCCACAGCAAAATGGGATTGCTGAGCGCCGCATTGGCATGGTCATGGACGTCGCTCGTACGTCCATGATGCATGCGGCTGCCTCCCATTTTCAGTGGCCATTTCCGGTTCAGTATGCCGCGCATCAGCTCAACCTTCAGCCCCGGGTCTCCTTGCAAGAGACCTCCCCCACCTTGCGGTGGACGGGGAAGGTTGGCGATGCCTCTGGGTTTCGGGTCTGGGGATCTCGGGCGTTTTTTTGCGACTTGTCTGCGGACAAGCTGTCCCCCCTTGCTGTTCCCTGCATCTTCCTTGGCTTCCCCCCTGACGCGCGCCTAGGTGGCAGTTTTACCACCCCACCTCGCGCCGTGTTCTGTCCTTTAAGGACGTCACCTTTGACGAGTCGGTGCCTTACTACCGTCTCTTCCCCTACCGCACTGCGCCCCTCCCTCCGAAGCCGCTCTTCCTTGCGCCAGGTCCTCCCCCGGTAGACCCCCTCCCCCCTCAGGGTCCTGCCCCGTCAGGTGTGTCCCGGGTAGACGCAGTCGAGCCTATCGACGTAGCTGTTGACTCTGGTGCAACTAGAGGTGCTGAGCCTTCGGGTGCCGGGTGTGGAGGTGCTGAGTCAAGGGGCACTGAGACTAGGGGTGCTGAGTCTGGGGGTGCTGAGCCTTGGGGTGCTAGGTCTGGGGGTGCTGAGCCTGGGGGTGCGGAGCCTAGGGGTGCGGAGCCTGGGGGTGCGGAGCCTGGGGGCGCTAGGTCTGCTCGTGTGGCCGGCGGCGGTGCTTCGTCAAGGTGGGAGCCACTCTCTCCACAGGAGCTACGCGAGTGGTTTGCCCGCCGCTGGAGCCGTGCTGCTGGAGCTGGAGGTACTACTGTAGCTGCTGGTCCCGAAGGTGTTCGTACCGGCGGTCCAACAGCTCTTGGGACTCGGGGTGCTGCCGGGGCTATTGGAGTTGGTCCTGCTCGAGCTGTTGGCGGTGCTGGTGCTGCTCAAGCTGGAGCTGCTGGGGGTGTTGGCGCTGGTGTTTCTGCTGGCGCTGGTGCGTCTGGGGGTGCTGGAGTTGGCGCTGTTGGAGGTGGAGGTGCTGTTGGCGCTGGTGCTGCCGCTGAGGGTACTGGTGCTGTCCTTGCTAGTTCTGGAGGCGCTGCGCGGCCGAGGCCGTACTTTGTTCCGCTCCTGGAGCGAGTTCTTGGTCTCCCACCCTCTACTAGTCCTGCTCCTCCCTTAGAGTGTCAGAAGCCTGTCCACTCGCAGTCACAGTTATAGCCCGCCTCCCCCCTACCTGCTCCTTCTCCCTACACTGGTCCTACTGGAGGTCTTGTTGAGCGTCGTGAGCCTGCGTCTTGTCCTGCGTCGCCTGTTCGTGCTGCTCGCACTAGTGGTCGTACTGCGCATCCGTTTCCTCCTGCGGTCCCAGGCACACACCAGATGGCGCTGCGTCCTTCCACTACTCCTTTGCGTGTCCCGTTGTCGTCTCCTCCAGAGTCCTCTCTTCCTACTCTTGCTAACTCGGAGTCTGACTCTCTTCGTGCTGTCAGTCCTTCTATCACTCGTCTCCTGGCTACTGTTGTCACTGACCCTTCTTTTGAGTCCATTGCTGCGTCTGCCTTAGTGGCTGAGCTTGTCGACTTTGCTGCTCGCTGTCGTCTAGACTACGCCACTAGTCTTATTGCTGAGTCTGAGTCTGTCTGTCCTCCGTCTGTCGGGGGTGAGTGTGCTCTTAGCACGGACGTCCTTGAGGACAGGCAGGAGGAGTTCCAGTGCTTTGCTGCTGCTTTGCCCCATCTCGTGTCCACGCTGATTGCCCCTGAGAGAGACCCGAATGCACCAGACATCCCGACTCCACAATCGTATGCTGAGGCGATCAAGGGTCCCTACTCCTCTCAGTGGCAGTCGACCATGGACGCAGAGATGGCTTCCTGGAAGTCCGCAGGCACCTACGTTGACGAGGTTCCCCCACCTGGGGCGAACATTGTCAATGGCATGTGGATTTTCAGGGTGAAGCGGCCGTCGGGTTCTTCGCCTGTCTTCAAGGCGCGTTACGTGGCTCGAGGCTTCAGTCAGCGGCAGGGGGTTGACTACTTTCAGACCTTCTCTCCCACCCCGAAGATGACCACTCTTCGGGTGCTGCTGCACGTAGCCGCTCAGCGTGACTACGAGCTTCACTCTCTTGACTTCAGCACGGCTTTTCTGTAGGGCAGCCGGCACGAGGAGATCTGGCTGCGCTGCCCTACTGGCTTCACTGGGTTGTTTCCTCTTGGTACCCAGTGGAGCCTATGTCGGCCAGTCTACAGTCTCCGCCACGCGCCCCGTGAGTGGCACGACACACTGAGGACTACACTTGCGGCTCTTAGGTTTGCTCCTTCTACAGCCGACCCGTCGCTGTTGCTGCGCACCGACACCTCTTTGCCGCCGTTCTACATCCTCGTGTACGTCGACGACTTGGTCTTTGCCACTGCTGACACTGCTGGACTCGCCCACGTGAAGTCCGAGCTGCAGAAGAGACACACGTGCACAGACCTGGGTGAACTGCGCAGCTACCTTGGCTTGCAGATCACCCAGGACAAAGCACAGCGCACCATTACCCTGACTCAGTCACACATGGTGCAGCAGGTCCTTCAGCGCTTCGGCTTCATGTACTCCTCGCCTCAGGCCACTCCTCTGTCTACTCGCCACTCGCTCTCAGCTCTGCCTTCGGATGAGTCCGTAGAGTCAAGTGGCCCGTACCCAGAGCTTGTTGGCTGCCTCATGTACCTGATGACCTGCACACGACCTGACCTTGCATACCCTCTTAGCATCTTGGCACGCTATGTTGCTCCTGGCAGACACAGGCCAGAGCACATGGCTGCAGCGAAGAGGGTGTTGCGCTACTTGTGCAGTACGTCGGGGATGGGGCTAGTGCTTGGAGGGCGACGTTGAGTGGTCCTCACAGGTCACGCTGACACTTCTTGGGCTGACTTCCAGGCTCTGCAGCGGTCGTCACAGGGTTACACCTTCAGCCCTGGCTCCGGCTCTGTTTCGTAGCGGTCTACCCGCTCGTCTTCTGTTCTCAGCTCCGATTGTGAGGCTGAGATCTACGCAGAGGCCATGGCTGCACAGGAGCTACGCTGGCTCACCTACCTGCTGACTGACCTAGGAGAGCCGCCTTGTTCTCCTCCAGTTCTGTACGTAGACAACAAGGCCATGCTGGCCTTGTGTTGGGAGCATAGACTGGAGCACAGAACGAAGCACATTGCTCTTCGCTACTTCCTTGCTCGTGAGCTGCAACAGCGTGGTCAGCTGCGCCTTGCTTACGTGGTCTCTGAGGCCAACACTGCTGATATTTTTCCCAAGGCCCTTCCGCCTTGTGATCATCAGCGCTTCTGTACGATGTTAGGTCTTGTGCCTACTTGGCCTCACTTGCTCACTTCTTGACCTTGCTTGTACTGTGCTCTTTCTATACCTGCACTTGCGTGTTTGCCTTTACATATGATCTTGCATGTAAACTGGCCTTTTGGCCTTGCTCTTGTGCTCGGATTGTGTGGTGACTTTGTGATCCACCCTGAGCTTGCTTTGCTTTGCTTGAATGGCCTTGTGACCTCTTGTTCTCGCCCACTTTGCCTATGGGGGTGTCTCAAACTCATATTATATAGCTTGTGTAGGCTTTACTTGGGTACCCAACTTTGTGCTAGTTCATTTCATTCCTCAATTCTTACAGGAGCTTCTCACGAACCACTCGGCAGCCGCCATAGCAGCAGCGAACGCAGCGGCAAATGAAGCAGCATCATCAGCAGCAGCAGCGGCGACACCAACACTTAACCCAGCAGCAGCGGCAGTGGCTACAGTGAATCTTAAGGCGGCACGTTCGAGGCTATCGGAGACGTTCAATCCGAATGCAAGAGACACTGACGTTCGTCGATTCATTGCGACTCTCGAAATTCACTTCGAGGCCATTGGTTGTACGACCCCGACACACGATGCAATGCGGATTCGGCTCGAAGCGACACTGTTACGAGGCCTAGCGCTCGAGTGGATTTACAACAGCAAATAAGATCCGAGGCAAGGGGTCATGGACGCAGTTTCGGGAAGCTTTAATTCAACGTTTCGAACCTATCAACTCCAGCTACATGGCGAGGCAGCAGATTCATCGACATAAACAGTTCGGCAGTGTAACACAGTACACGCAGCAGATGGAATGTCATAACATTATAGCTTATACATTTGTGTAGGCTGTAGTTGGGTAGCCCATAAGGGGTACAACCTAATTAGGGTTAGTACTTGTACCCAACTCTTTCATGGTTCAATCAATCTCGTTTCTCATCATGGTATCGAGCAGGTTCCCTAGTGGGAATGCTGCCTAGGGCCCACCATGAATTCTTTTTCCTGCCCGGAGCGCGCTTCACTCCTACTCGAGTTGCGTTTCGTACCTTCGAGCCGCCTTTAGTGGCGTTCCCTTTGGCCGCCCTTACGGCCCCTCGCGCTGCCCTCTAAGGCCCCTCGCGCCGCCCTTACGTCCCCTTACGGCCTCCTACGGCCCCTTGCGTCGCCCTCTACGGCCCCTCGTGCCGCCCTTACGACCCCTTATAGCCCCGCCTAGGCCCCCTACGGCCCCTCCGCGTCCCCGCCTAGGCCCTTTCGCCGCCCCGTCTAGCCCCTTACAGCCCCGCCTAGGCCCCTTACGGCCCCGCCTAGGCCCCTCCGCGGCCCCGTATGGCCCGTTACGGCCCCTCCGCGGCCCCGCCTAGGCCCCTCCGCGGCCCCATTTGGCCCCCTTACAGCCCCTTACGGCCCCGCCTAGGCCTCTTACGACCCCGCCCACGCTCCTTACGGCCCCTTGCAGCCCCGTCTAGGCCCCTCCGCGGCCCCGTCTGGCCCCCTTACGGCCCCGCCTAGGCCTCTTACGGCCCCGCCTAGGCTCCTTACGGCCCCTTGCGGCCCCGTCTAGGCCCCTGCGCGGCCCCGTCTGGCCCCCTGCGGCCCCGTTTCGGCCCCTCTGCGGCCCCGCCTAGGCCCCGCTGCGGCCCCGTCTGGCCCCTTTATGGCCCTGTTTAGGCCCTTCTACGGCCCCGTCGCCACCTGCGGCCCCGCCGCCACCTGCGGCCCCGCCGTCACCCGCGGCCCCGTCGACCTAACCTAGCGGCCCCAACACCGCTCCGCCACCCAGCGACCGAGCCGCCGAGCAGCACAGCAACCGAGCCGCCCAGCAGCCGAGCCGCCCTGCCGCCAAGCCGCCCAGCAGCCGAGCCGCCCAGCAGCCGAGCCGCCCTGCAGCCGAGCCGCCCTGCCGCCGAGCCGCCCTACTGTCTAGCAGCTGCTGTTCCTACCGGTGCTTCCCGACCCCTCCTTCCTCGGACTGGTGAGCTCACTTCCTCCTAGGCCACTGCAGTCATGGCTGCCCCCATTGTCCTCACTTATGATGCTGAGGGCCGTGCCGTTGACTTTGAGGTCTGAGTCGATGACCTCCAGCTGTTTCTTCAATGCGATAGGGCGGACAGCCCCTTCCTCTTTGACCTCACTTCTGGTGCCTCTCCTGCCCCTGCTGCTGATCCTGACGCCACTGTTTGCTCACAGTGGGCCACGCCCGACGCTGCTGCTCGCCTTGCTGTGCGCCGCCACTTACCGACCACTGAGCGTGCACACTTTAGCCAGTACAAGAGTGCTCAGACCTTGTACGACGCTGTAGTTGCACGCTACTCCTCCCCTGCCACTGCTGCACTGAGCTGCCTCATGCTACCGTACCTCTTTCCTGACCTTGCTACCTTTCCCACAGTCGCTGACCTCATTACGCACCTCCGCACTAGTGACACTCGCTACCGCGCTGCGCTTCCTGCTGAGTTTTGCGCCAAGAACCCCCCCCCCCCGCCCCCATGTACATCACTCTCTACTACATAGTCACCCGGCTCCCTGACTCTCTCCACGTAGTCAGGGACCACTTCCTCTCAGTTTGCCCCACCACTCTCACCGTTGAACTCCTCGAGAAGGCCCTCTTAGCAGCACAATAGAGCATAGTCAATGTACGAGCCTCTCGTGGTGACCCTCGCACCCCCGTCTTTGAGGGGTGTTCTCCCTCCCCCCTCTTGCCCTCTCTTGCCTCCGCTGCTGTGGCCGACCTCGTTGGTTTTGAGTCGGTCGGCGCTGCGTCTGCCCCGAGCGGGAAACGCCGCACCGGCAAGGGAAAGGGGGGCAAGGGCGCTCAAGGGGCTGGAGGGGGCGGTGGAGGTGGTGGTGGAGGCAATGGAGGGAGTGGGGGTGGTGGTGGGAGTGGTGCTGGGGGTGGCGGCGGCGCCGGCAGCAGTGGAGGAGGCGGAGGCGGTGGAGGTGGCAGAGGGAGCGGAGGCGGCGGAGGTGGCGGAGGAGGCGGAGGTGGAGGAGGCGGCGAAGGCGGCGGCGGTGGCGGCGGTGGTGGAGCGGGTCGCGACTTTGCGCAGAGGAGTGGCTCTGGTGGAGGTCCGCGCCAGTAGCAGCGGAGTGGTGTGACCCTGTCCCCTCAGCAGCTTCGTGAGTGGTACACTGTGCGTTAGCGCGGTGGGGGCTTTGGTCCCTCCGCTTACGTCCTCCGTACCGGCGACCGCGCTGGTGAGCAGTGCGGCGGCCCGCACTCCACCCAGCGCTGCTTTGGTCGCCTGACGGACGCGTGGCGTCGCCAGTTCCTTGAGGCGTCAGAGATCCCTCGCTGTGGTGATCTGTCTAAGGCCGGGGTTGCTATCTTTGATCTTGATTTTGATGCTATTCTTGTTGCCATGTATGCTGTTGATAATAGTGTTGCGGGTGACTGTTACCTGTGTGTACCGTCTGACCCGGGCATTGAGGCCACTACTCTAGGTGCTGGAGAGCCTCTTCAACCGAATTACCGACCTGGCCAAAGGGGAAAAAATCCAAGCGTATACTAAGGGGCTAAAGATGGAAGCCCGCCGACAAGTGATTGCCGCAAATTACAACAACTACCGCGACATGGTGTGTGCAGCAGAGAGATTCGATGCGCTAATGCGATGTGAGCCCGAGACACGACGCCACGTGCCGAACAGATCATTTGACACGAAGCGATCGGCACCACCCACGACCGCCGACCCGATGGATATGGACAAGATCGACGCGAAGCAGCGGCTGACATAATATGAGAAGTGCGAATTTTTCGGCGCAGCAGGACATCGATTCTTGGCGTTTTGGAAAATGAAGAAGGCACGAGCGGAGCTGCAGGGCAACAACAGTGCGACATCCACGATGGCGAAAAAAAGAGGAAACGATGGCGCAAATTTGAAACGCCACGACCGGCCGGCAAGAGGGGAAATCGCCGAGACAAATGGAGGCTCCGCGAAACAAGACAGCACCGACCGGGAAACTCCAGCCGAACACCCCCGAGAGTAAGAACATTCCCTCTCGAGGTCTTCAAGCCTTAAAAAAATTCAGCGGAGATTTCAAGGCCAAGAAAAAGCCTTCAGACATTATTCAGGTACCTCAGAAGTTGGGCAAACCACTCCGGAGCGTTGAAAAGGGTCGTGCGTTCTGACTTCGTATTCTCTCCTCACAGCATAGAGTTAAGGCTCCCCATTGCCCACGAGAGAAGCCTACACAGCTGCAAAAGCTTAAGGGAACGTTCCAAGCCAGGACGAAGCTGAATCGGCCTCTGATAAATCCTTCTAACCCTGCTCAGTTGGAAACTGATATGGCGTCAGCAGCTTCGAGCACAGGACCGAGGGATGATCTATTCGACGTACCCTACGATCCTATAAGCGAGACCATCTACGGTTACTCGTAACAGCAACAACCACTACTACTCGAGGTGATCTGCAACGAGCGATGCCTGCAGACACTGGTGGACAGTGGTGCATCCCACTTGGAATGCGACCGCGGGACGTTGGAGAATATTGGAGAATTTTCGGAGGAGACCAAGTTCTCGCCAACAATGGTGGACGGTACAAAACTTCCCATCCACGGCGAAGCATCACTGCAGGTGCACATAGGGGCACTGAGGTGGAAGCCGACATTGCCGATCACGAACATCAAGGGTTTAGATTTCATCTTGGGGCGAGATTTCCTGAAGCGGTTCAACCCCGAGATCGGCTGGGTCAACAAGAAGGTGTGCATCTACAACAACGGGAAACAAGTGGAGCTACGAAGCTGGACGGATATAGGGAACATTCTTGAAACGACACTGGCACGGTTCGAACGGACGGTGAACAAGAGTAACACGGGTCACTTAGCACTGGTTATGGCAGCAACAGAGAAGGAGAAGCCGAGTTTGGAGCTACCTACAGCAGTGAAAGAGGTCTAAGAGCAGTACAAAGATATAATGCCCGACGACCTACCTGCAGGAGTACCTCCAGCACGCACCCACGAGCACGAGATTGTGGAGGAACCAGGTGCGAAACCCGTCTCACGTGCACCATACCGACTGAGTCCGACCGAACTCACAGACATGAAGAAACAGATAGAGTATCTACTGGACAGACAACTCATCCGCCCATCCACCTCTCCCTACGGTGCACCAGTCCTCTTCACTTCAAAACCAGACGGTAGTTTACGGATGTGCATCGACTACCGCGTACTGAACAAACAGACAGTCAAAAACAAATATCCCCTACCGCGCATAGACGACCTACTGGACCAACTGTGTGGTGCAACAGTCTTTTCGAAGTTGGACCTACGGTCGGGTTACTGGCAGATCAAGATGGCGGACAACTCGATCCACAAGACGGCGTTCCGTACCAGATACGGCTCCTACGAATACTTGGTGATGCCGTTCGGACTCTCCAACGCACCAGCAACGTTTCAGGCGGAGATGAATCACATCTTACGACCCCTGCTGGACGAGTGCGTGGTGGTGTACCTGGACGACATTCTCATCTACTCCAAGAACATGAAGGAGCACGTGGAGCATCTGCGGAAGGTGTTCGAGATCCTGTGGAAAAAACAAGTTCTACGTGAAGCTGTCGAAGAACGACTTCGCCCTGAAGAAGGTGCAGTTTCTCGGGCACATGGTGAGTGCCGAGGGCGTACACGTGGACCCACCAAAGATCGAAGCCATCAAGAAGTGGAAAGTACCGGAGAACGTGAAGGAGTTGCAGCAGTTCCTAGGCTTCGCCAACTACTACAACAGGTTCGTGCCGCAGTACGCTAAGATAGCAGCGCCATTGACCGGCCTACTGAAAAAGGATACGCCCTACAAATGGGATACCCTTCATCAACAAGCCATGGAGCAGCTACAGACAGCACTAACTACAGTGCCAGTATTCATCTTGCCGGATCCAGACAAGGACTACGTGGTGGAAGCAGACGCTAGTGACCAAGCAGTCAGAGCAGTACTGATGCAGCATCACGAACGCAGTTTGCAGCCCATCGCCTACCTCAGTAAGAAGCTGTTGCAGTGGAAGAAGGACTTAGCTGTAAGAAAGGAATCAGGAAAGATTTGGGTACCGAATTACGCCCCGCTACGGCATATCCTATTGGAGGAGTTTCACGACGTACCTTACGCGGGACATTTCGGGAGCAACAAGACGTTAGCAGGGATAGCGAAGTATTACTACTGGCCCGGGATGGCAGCAGACGTGCAGCAGTTTGTCACCTCCTGCGACACGTGCCAGCGGATGAAGAGTAGCAAGCAGAAAATAGCAGGGTTACTTCAGCCTCTACCCGTACCGGAGCAGCCATGGCAGGTCGTTAGCCTCGACTTTATCACAGGACTTCCTTCGACCTCACGGGGGCACGATTCCATCCTCGTAGTCATCAATAAGTTCTCCAAAATGGGTCACTTCATACCGACCAACGCCACAGCTACAGCTGAAGCAACTGCTCGCCTCTTCTTCGACCGCATCATCACCATCCACGGCATCCCCGCTACACTCATCTGAGACAGAGACCCCAAATTCACGAGTAAATTCTGGAAGGAGCTCATGGGATTGTTGGGGACAAAGCTTGGAATGTCTACAGCATACCACCCCCAGACTGACGGACAGAGAGAGCGACTCAATCAAGTGGTTGAACAGTTACTGCGCACAGCTTGCAAGGACGACGTCAGCCACTGGGACACACAGTTACCGACCCTGGAGTTCGCTTACAACAATGACTCATTTGCGGCCACAAGGAAAACTCCTTTCTTCCTATGTTACGGATGGGAACCACTCACACCCCAGCTGCCAACCACACCAGCACACGTCCAAGCCGCACATGACTTCGTCACCACCATGCAGCAGCTATGGGAGAAGACTCAACGACGTGTCACCACGATGCAGAACTCCCAGAAGCAGTATGCCGATCGTCGGCGACGAGATCACTCAGTAGCAATCGAAGATCAGGTGCTTCTTGACACGCGCAACTTGAACCTGTCTCACCTCCCATCCAAACTCCGGCCTCGCTTCTGTGGTCCTTTTCTCGTGGAGGCACAGGTGACACCAGTAACATTCTGCTTGCGCTTACCAGATACATGGAAGCTTCACAACGCTTTCCATGTTCAGCTACTGAAACCCTACAAGGACCCCAACCAATAGTTCCAGGGACGGCAGCTACCACCACCACCACCTATTCTCATACAAGATGAACCAGAGTACGAATTGGAGCGCGTTCTCACTCATCGGCGCCGCGGTGGCAAGACCCTCGAGTTCCTGATACGCTGGAAGGGATACGACCCCACTGAGGATAGTTGGGTTGCAGAAGCTGATATGGGCAATGCACGCCGTGCTCTCAAGGACTATCTTGTCTAGCAGGGTGTATCTCACGCCACCCAGCTTTGAGGGGGGGGCGTGTGAGAGTACGACGGCTTATGCCAGCTATGCTTGCTTGCCTTTACTTTATGATGCTAATTCTAGCATAGGATAATCATATGCATGCATGAATTGCTTGATTTCCTAGGCTAGGTGCTTTCCTATATTTTATTATAGTTATAGCACCGAGCTAGGTTGCGTGCACCGAATTCTGGCCTTTCGGTTGCCACCGAATTGCCTTCTACCGAATTCGGTAAGGATCTGTTTGGGACGCTTCGCGACCCGCGGAACCTTCGCGTAACACCTGGCTACGGGGCCTTGTGTCGAGCCTATATATAGCCTCGTGTTGTACCCAGTTGATCATTCAATTCTCTCACATTCTCTTTTCTGAGCTCGATCCTAGATCCTCACATAACGCACCCACCTCGGGATGTCCAAAGGGGTGCGCGGGTTCCTCCCCACCAGGCGCACTGCCACCCCCTGCCTGTTGCTCGCGCTGCCCCCATCCAGGATGCGTCCGTCCTCTATTAGGCTTGTGCAACAGGGTTTCACGTGCTCATTTTCCAGTTCTCACTTTGGTTCCCTTATTTTTGTCATCCTGCTAGTCCTCTCCGCCTACTTCTCGGTGCGAGCGCTTTTTTGAGCGGTAGTGTTTGTGGTCGCGTTCGCGTTTAGGTAGAGGCCCAAAACTTGTAGGGGTATCTGTGTGGTTCGCGTGCACGCTTCCCCTCGTTTGCTCACGTTTTCCCCCTGCCATGGCCGGTCGCGAACTGAAGGCGCTGTTGAACAGTGGCGAGAAGGGCGCTACTTACACTGCTATGATATCAATCGCTGGTGCCACTGTGGATCTCCCCCCCGAGCAGAGGAAGTGCTTCTCCGATAATAAGCACCCTTTCAGCGCGACCTCCTTCGACTTTCTCGCCTGGTAAGTCTACCTTGGGATGGATTGCTTGTTTAGGACGCCTTATGGGGTCACATCGCGGCTTTGTATGGCTTGTTTAGAACGTCCACATGCGCGGTCGCGTGCATCGTATTCGCGTTACCAATTCGCCTGCAAAGTTTCCGTCTGAGCCATCTTCTGTTCGCGTTACCGTTGATGCCCTTCGAGTTCGTTTCCACATATATCGCAACAACTGTAACATGTACTGGCTTGTATAGTTACGCCCGCATCACAACCCGGCCGCGATGTTTTTGTGGCCATATGTTCTTACGTTTCCCGCACAGCGTGGTAGTTCGGAAGTGCGTGTCCCCGTCGCTCCAGGAGGCAATACAGGTGGTGCCCTCCAATGTTGTCGCGGACATTGTCGCGGGTGGTGAGGACGTCCACGTGGCATTTGACCGTTTGCTTGGATGTAAGTTGGTCGCGTTCTGCATCTGGACCGGGTGAGTATAGCGGGACTAGTCGTAGGCTGGTTGTGCTTTGCGCATGTGTTTGTCGATAAGTACTGATGCGAGTCGTCTTGTGTCACATTATCATGTCAGGGAAATGAGTGACAAGAAGGCCTCAAACGCGGGCATGTTGTTGCTTTTGCGACCGGACCACCTGGGGCTTGACGCGACTTCACCTTGGAAAACTCGCTTTGTCCGCGTTTGTCACCCCACTGCCGCGGCCGAACATCTTACCACGATAGACAAGATTGTCAAGTAAGTCTGTACCAGCGGTGCTATCCTAAACCCTTCGGTTGCGGCTACTATACTTCCATGTCTGAGAGATATCATATGAACCGTGTAGGTGGTTTCACGGTCGCGTTTGCATCTGTCACGGGAGCTATTCGGTCCAGTGTGACCGTTCTGGGAAGCTGGGAGATCCGTCGCGCCTCGTGGACCTGGTGAGTATGTAGAATGTTCGCGTTTGTTGGTGGTCGCGTTTGTTAAGTCGCAGAGCCCTAACTCAACACGCCATCTTTACGGTTTCCTTTCAGGATATTTCTTCCTCGAAGGCCCCTTGCGGTCCACTCGCATGTGCGTACGCGTTTGACAGAGTTCTTAACGACCTTGACGCGGTTGTTAGACACGACCGTGTGCCTTGCATCGCCAAGCCAATTGCCATGACTCTGACCACATTGCGGCAGGATACGAAACGCGCCGCGGAGGAGCTCGCGTTCAGGTCCAAGTGCGGTATCGCGGACGGCCATGGGTGGTATGCTCATGGCAATGAACGTTTGAGGTCGCACGAACAGCCGGCGGGGTCACATGTTTCGGGTCGCGATGCAATCGCACTCAATACAGCGCTTGCTCTCGCGAACGTAGGGGAGGGGGAGCAGGGGAAGCCGGACAAGGAGGAGGGCTTGAGCTATGAACGCGACGAGGACGCCCCTGTGAATGCAACGCAGGGTCTAGGTGCCAAGAAGGCGCGAGAGGAGGCCGACGAGGCAGAGGGATAGGGTTGCGGACAGGACAAAGGGGACGATGCGGAGGATGACCAGCGCGGTGATTTGGAGCTGGAGTGTTCAGAAGAACTGGAGGGGGAAGAGGACGACGAAGAGGATGAGGAAGAGGAGGAAGAGGTGGAGGAAACCCTCGCGACCAACAATGCCGGGTGGGCGGCGAGCGCGGTCGTGGGTGCAGGGAAGAGTATTCGCGGTCTGCAGGCTGTGCTCTCCCCCCGTCACGGTAGCGCGATCCCGTCTACAGAGTACGCGGGCAAGCGTAAACACTCGGAGCTGGTGAAGATGGATCCTGCGAAGCTGGCCGCGGAGATCCTCCGCTTGGACGAGCAGATGAAAAAACAGAAACGCAAGCTGGACGAGGTCGTGTCCGCAAAGCCAGGCACAGAACATGCGGTGGTGATCACGCAGAGCTACGACGAGCTCGTGGCTACAGTGGAGAAGACACTGCTTCACGTGCAAAACACGGAATGGGTGATGCGCAGGGAAGCCAAGCTGGCCGCGAAGGACAGGGCGAAGAATCGCGACATGCGGGAGGTGCTAAAATGCGCTGCTGTCCGCTTGGAAGATTGCGCGGCTAGCATGAAGGGGGTGGTTGTGGATGTCAGAGGTCCACTGGTGATCCCCGATTGATCCTAGGGAAGGGTTACAAGCATGTTGGCCTGGGGGGTTATGGGCGCACTGACCCGCTACTTAACAAGCCCTTTTATCCCAATGATCTAGTGGTTGGGATTCTGACATGGTACCAGAGCGAAGGTCTCGGGTTCAAATCCCGGTGTGTGTACTTCGGGCATCCCAGTGCGGGGGGGTGTCAGAGGTCCACTGGTGATCCCCGATTGATCCTAGGGAAGGGTTAAAGGCATGTTGGCCTGGGGGGTTATGGGCGCACTGACCCGCTAGTTAACAAGCCCTTTTATCCCAATGGTCTAGTGGTCGGGATTCTGACAGTGGACTCCATGGAGAACGCCCAGAAGAAACTGACGGACGAGGTCGCCCGTAAGATCGACAGCGCGTCATCCAACATCGCGGGAACCGCCGAGAGAGCGATCACCACAAGGGGCGTCACCAACTCTCTCAACATCATCATCGCGATGCTTTCCGGGCGTGACGCACCGCGACTAGTCACCGATGGGCCGCAGGGGAAGGAGTCACACAAGGTCGCGGGAAAAGAGGCACGGAAGAGGGTCGCGGAGAAAGAAACGGTGAAGAGGGAGACAGGGAAGAAGGCCGCGGACAAGGACACAGGTAAGAGGGTCGCGGACAAGGACACAGGGAAGGGTGAGAGTAGCAGGGGAGGGAAGCGGCAGAAAGGTCCCGTGGCGACTAGCGTCACAGATCTCCTTAAGATAGGGGGCGCGGTCGTCGTGTGTGCAGCGGGAACCGCCAGGGTGGATGCGGCTGCCGGATCACCGCTTGCCACCTCGGCGGTTGAAGCTGCTAAAGGCAAGGACAAGGTCGAGGACGCCCCGCCAAACACCACCCCCACCACCACCACCAACACGACCGCGATATTGCCCGCGGCTGGTAACACCTCCACGGTCGCTGATGGACAGCCTGGACCCAGCTCCATCGCCCCTGCAATCCCCCCCTCTGCATATGTGAAGGCAAAGAATCAGAGCCGCGGTGGTTGTAAGCCGCCTCCGGCCGCGTTGAAGGTGGAACACGAGGACGACGACGACTCAAACGAGAATGATGTTGTTAAGCTGGTGTGGCAGAGGTTCATGGGGCCAAGCGACACCAGCGGCACTAGCGGCAAGCGCAAGGACTGTGGTATCCGCCCTCCGCCCAAGGGTGGAGAGGGGATGGTGGGCGAACCGTGGCTGGGGGAGAGGCGTCGCTGGCTGGGACATCACTCACTCCAGGAGGTGCAGTACCTGACCGCGATCGCGGTCATGTGTTATGACAAGAAGGTTGACCACGGCCTCAAGCTGATTGCGCAGCGAAGGAGTGAGTGGGCCAAGGACATCTCCGCGGTCGAGACGATGTGCACCGGGCTATTCGCCACCATGCAGCTCCGCAAACTTTGCGGTAATGTTGACAGGTACGGTCGTGTGTTCAGTTATTTGTGCAGACGGGTTCATAGGATTGCGGTCACGTTCGCGACTAACCATGTCCCGTGTTTTCCCCCTGCTTGCAAGTACCACAACATGTTCAAGGCCTACCACGACTTCACCCGTCCCGGTTCCACCCTTGGTAACGCGGTCGCTTGGGCAGCTGCGGTGGGAAAGGAGGCTGCAGACGAGGAGCCCGATGTCACCGGGGACCAAGTGGGCCTGTTTGCTGGCGCGTGCGCGTGCGCCATAGCCATGGTGTGGGAGACCTGCAACGGTCTCGATCTCGAGGGGGTCATGGATGTTGGATACGTCGCGGCGCAGTGTGCCGACACTCCAGAAGAGAAGACCCGTGGTCACGTATCGATTGTGACCGCGGTATTCAAGTGGGCCAAGAAGGAGAAAACTCGCAAGCAAGCACCCGAGGTCACACCGAAACAGATCGCGGAGAAGATAGAGACCACTGTGGTGAACCGCCTTGGTGCGCGACTTGGGGACCCCACATTGGTCGGTATGGTCGTGCACGAGGCAGTAGATGTGCTGATGACCTGGTGCGATTGCAAGATCGCGGCCAAGGCGATGGAGACCAACGGTCTCTATCTTGCACTGCCATACAAGCGTCTGTCCGCGAAGAAGAGGTCCGCGTGAATGGGGTGGTAGTGGTTGTAAACTGTGGGTTCTAGGGACACTTGTTTGTGTTGTTTGTGATAGTATAGGTAGCTTGCCCACCCTGCTTGAGATTTTCTCGCGGTGGTCATTTTGTCTATGTTGTGTGCTCCTTTGTTATGCAACTCTCTTGCTCGATCGCGACCGGCGTTTCACGTAATCCTCGGCACTTTTTGAACTGAGATTTTGCGAACAAGGTCAAATGCATGGTTGAGCCACCAATACTTGAGCGATACATGCTATTGGTTGAGCCAACAGTACTACACACACTATTCGAACGCGTTACAATGAGCAGTTTACGTCTGCTCTGTAATGCAAGCGGAACATTCGGAAGCCTCCATTGCGACACACGGTATATTCTCATGAAACACAAACACAATCGCGGTCTACTAAACATCTCCCAAACGCGATCAACATCTGATCTTACCCCCCCACTAATCTAGGCGTGGCATCTGGGCACAATACTGTGGCCACGCGACCGAAAACTCTGACGCGGGAAGGGAGGCATCGATGAAGTAGTCGCGTACAAGCATCCATTTCACACACAACTGCACCTCAGCCGGGGAGCCCTTCTTCAGCTCGCTTAGGGTCACGTCAACATACTTCTTCTTCAACGCGACCCCTTGCGATACACCCGACATGCCCACAGCTACAGACACGAGGTCGAGCTTGTCGAGCACGACCGCGAGGTTGTCCCCTTGCTCCACCCTGTGGGCGATGAAGTGCATGACTCGCTTGACATGGTTTATTGTGTTATGGCCGCCTCCAGCCTTCCCAATAAGCTCGGCCAACCGCGTAACTGCACCGTGGGGCTGGGCGATAAGCGACTCCGGACTCTCGCCGATCAGCGGGTGCGTGGAATTGTAAAGCTTCCATCCGTCCGACGGTTTTGCCGCGTTGACCCATGGGAGGACGATCGCGTCCCAAATCATCTCTTCCCTCGTGGGCTGTGCGGGTTTCTTCCTCGTTCCCTGGTCGGTGGGAGTTGTGGCCTTTGCAGGCTCGGCCGCGGCACAAGGAGTGTTTGCCAGACTCGGATCTGCGGTCGGCCCAGAGCTGCTCACGGTGAGACGCGACAGCTGGGCCTCCAAATCATTTACGCGCTCGTCCTTGCTGGCCAGCTTCCGATCGCGATCCTCCAGCAGCCCCTCCAGCTCTTTCACCTGTTTATGAGTCGCGACCAACTCTAGGCCCAGTCTGGTGTTGTCCGCTTGTGAACGAGGCAGGTATTCAGTGAGGACGGTCACTTAGTTCTGCGCGTCCATTCTGGTACTCACCTCCTGCATGGACAGAAAGCGACCGCGAACTTGTTATGGTTTGGCATTGACATCACATCCGGAAAGATAACGCGACCATGCAGTACTTACCGCGGGCTGGGTCAGTGTAGGCGCGTTGCGCTGAACTATGGCGAGCTGATTTGCCAAGGAGACATTTGCAGCCCACGACGCAAATTCCTCCGTCTTGCAGAGCAGGTTGTTGACCACGTACGGGTGTCGCGGCTGGTGAATGTAGTACATGGCCAGGTCTTGCGCGACCGCCATCCTAGCCTCCCCGTCCAGCTCCTTCAGTATGTTAAGCCCCGCAGTGTCCTGCTTCTCCCGCGTCTGCTTTTTTACCATCTTGCGGTTGTACTTTTTGCACTGTGACAAGGAAACAACGCGGTAGTGAACGTGGTGCCAGAGGGTTATGTGGGATGCTCGCGGCCGCGTATGCGCGGCCCACACATACCTGTTGCTGTCCTTTGTCCGCGGCGGCCCGGGGGAAAATGTGCTTCCTCAGTAGCTCATCCAGCTCGTTGACCGGAACAGTTGCGCGACCCAGGAAGTAGTCACCGTCAACCCCGGTGAAGCCCGCCTTCAGCAGCACGGCCTCCCTCGGAATGGTTGTGAGGTAGTGCTTAGTCATCACGTCGATGAAGCGCCAACCCCCCAGCCTCGCCAGCTGATCCGAAGGCATTCCGTCCGCGGACGCGTGCTGCGCCCCCCCCCGGCCCTAGTCGCGTGTACTGCACGCGAGCATGTGATTCTCGCGTCCTGGAGAATCTTCGCCGCCCAGTCGTGATGAGTCGTGGGCGGTATTTGCTTCTCGTTGCCCGCGCGAAGGGGGAAGAACAGGCATTGATCGTACCACGTCGAGGGTTCCGTGAAGTCAAGAGGGGGGGCTATGTCCTCGTAGATGATGGGAACCAAGTCGAAGACCCAGTGCAGCCACAGCAGCGTGGCTCCGACCGCGCACAGCGTCCAATCTATGTGCCTCACAGCAGATATGTAGTTGAGGGAAAGTCCTTGTTTGTCTTGCCCGTCCTGCACGCGCAGACAAACATGAGCGGGTTCCTCACTGGATCGGTCTCGGATTTTGCGCTGAGCTTCCACATCATCATATCTGAAAGCTGCAGGTTTCTGATCGTGCACTCGCGGGCCAGAGTGTGATGACCGATCACAGTCATCGTCCGGATGCAGCGGTCGCGATGCATTGCCTGCGTGTATGCTTTCTTGGCTAGTGTGAAGCTGGTCAAGATCGCGTCCATGCCGGTCTTCCGCATCATATGCTTGAACTCGTCCGGGGTCTTCGTGTCCGCGGCCGTGCCCCGATGGCAATCCATGTGTTCCCTGCGCATCGATTTGGACGATAGTGCGGGTGTTAGTGGACGCAGTATTGTTGGGCATTAAACGCGTTCACTGAGTACGTATACTTACGCGATAAACCGCTTGTACTGGTCGCGTACTTGAGCGCGGACCTAGATGCGACACTCGGCAAAGTCGCGCAGCAGGTCCAGAACGGGCTTCCTGAAGATGGCCCCATCAAGCTTGATGAGCAGGTTCAAAGCCTTGAGACGCCCCATCAGCATTGCCGGGGTGCACTGGCGTCTCTTCTTCAATGTCTTTTTTGGCCGCTTGAGTGTGGCCATCCTGTCCGCCTGTGCGACTGTCTCGTCTGCGAGGAAGGTCACGTATTTGCGTAAGCGCCACGGATCCGTCTCAGGGTCGTAGAACCACTGCTCGTCGCCCTCCGCCATCTTCGAGTCACCACCCATGTTCTGTTCGAGCGCGGCCCCTATCTCGTCGAGGTTCGCGTTTCTCAACGTGGCCTCCTCACTAAACCTACCCTCGTCCAGTTTAGGCAGCTCGTGAGCCATGAACCGCTTGTACTTATTGGCCCAACCGCAATACTTCTTCAGCGTGGCCTCAGAGACACCGTATAGGATTCCGTAGCACATCTCTCGTTTCGTGGCCGGCGTGTCGTCCACACCAAGCCTGTTCCAATCCGCGATAGGGACCTCAATGTCCCTCGGCGTACCCCGCACCCGTTCGTTGTCTTCCGCCTCCTCCTCGTTGAGCTCGGACAGAGAGTTCGATAGGTAGTTTTCGTCATCGTCATTCCAACTATCGTCCGCATCGTCAGTGTCGTCCTCGTCATCCTCATCGCTTGCCCCCTCGCTCCCCTCCCGGGAGCCGTTGCGTGCCGTGTGCGACACGACATCGACTCACCGCCTCCTTATACGCGGTCTATTAACTGGCCCGTTACCGGTACCGCCGTGCGCGTTAACACCGTTACCCCTGCTGCCGTTACCTGTCACCCCATGCGCTCCCTGCCCATTCGCACTATCCCCGTTCTATCCCACACCTGTCCCACGTCCCGCGCTCGCTCTCCCACCCCTTCCTCTCGCACCTCTCCCTCTAGCCACGTTCCCTCTCTCCCCTGTCCCTCTTCCCGCATTCCCTCTCGCACCAGTCCCTCTTCCCGCGTTCCCTCTCCCACCAGTCCCTCTTCCCCTTCCCGCGTTTCCTCTTGCACCCGCTCCACGGCCCGCGTTCCTCCCGTTCGCCTGTAGTTGCCCACCTACACCAGTCGCGTCCGCTACAGACGGATGCGCGGGGGTGCGGATGTGGACGTCGGGGTTTCCGGGCAACAGTGAGTTCACGTTCCATATTGGCAGCGAATGTGTACACGCGCTTGCATTCATCCCCGCTCCACCATTCAACGCACGCCCTAAACCACCGGCAAGCGCGTTCGATGATGGGCCGTCTGTTCACGCCCGTGTGTCCAAACCGACAACCAATGCTTCGCTAGGGTCTGGCGGGGCTTGCACCGTTGGCTGGCTTTCCGGATGGATCGCGCTGGGGAATGGTGTTGACGGCGAGACAGGAGGCGTCGCGACAGATGCGGGAGCGTGCACCATGGGGTCTGGTTGAACGCTGATGTACCCGTACCTGAATCCCACGTTCGCGTACTGCGGCCCTACGAAGCCACGCACAGGCATCCCGAAGAGCTAGCTAGTGGGAACGGACGGGGACGCGATGTGTTGTCCAACAACATGAGGTCCGGGATGAGGCGTGGATACTCCTTGCGCGGTAACATCATCCTGTTGATTTTGAAACGCGACTGTCGCTGCTGCAAATGGTATTTGTGGCCGCGGTGCTAGGTGGAGCCCGTTCACCAGTTGCTGTGGGTGGAACGCGGGAATCCGCGACCCAAAAACCACAAGCTGCACGTATGGGGTGCTCCATGTGGGGTTGAGCGCGTTCACCCCATGCACAGGAGCGGTAGGCGGTTCGGCATTATGGATTTGCTGCTCGGTTGTGTTTCTCGGAGCATTGATGGAGTCGTGAAGTATTGATGCCGCGACGCGATTCACGGTATGCATGCAGCGTGCGAGATTGCCCCTACTCCTATTCAGCGCGTGCGTCAACATGATGCGCGGTCACTACATGTACACCCGGGTGTGACTTAGACCCATTTACATCGCGACCGTTGTGCTCGCGGACATTCGAGCGCGGCACACAACGTAACCGCGATACTGGTGTCCTGTTGTCCGTCTAGGTCAGGTGAATCCAGTAGGTCATGAGTGCGAAGAGATTGGTGTGCAACTGGCGATCTTAATGCGAAAATGTGGGCATGCTAGGAGTAATGACCGGACAGTGCGTGGACGTGCTTGACATGTTACCGCGATCGCACATCGACCAAACAGCGACAGCTGTGTGGCTCGTTCAAATTGCTGCACGTGTCAGTCAGCATAGAGCCTACCAGATCGGGCCAGCTGTATCTGAACCGAATCTCGCTGTGCGCTTACCGAACCTATCCTTGTGCGAAATTTGTTCGCAATAAGTTGCGAGATAGCACAACCAGTAGTAGCACAGCCAGTAGTAGCACTCCTTTGGTTTCGCGTACGCGCAATTGCATGTGCAGAATGTCCCGCTTGCCAATGTTACCGACCAATCGCGTTCGTTTTCTACCGAGTTGCGCATGCATCGGTGCGTAAGAACGAGTTCTTTCGGTTTTTTGGGGGGCGCGGAGCTTTCGGTGGCAGCCTGGTGGGTTTCACTGAGCCACGCAGGGCCGCGCTAGGTCCAAACCTGGTGTGATCCTGGGTGGCCGACTTCGCCCCACGCTTCCCGCGATATCTCCGCGCCCCGTACATCCCCAAGCGTGGGCGGGGTTTTTCCTGAGCCGCGCCGTAAGAACATCCCAGTCCATACAGGTGTTGGAGTGCGGGAACGCTCCAACTCCACGTGTTGGAGGAAACCTATTGGAGGAATGAGCTGGCAAGCTGACCGCGGACAAAAAAAACTAAAACCCGTCCGGAATGGCATCCCGTTCGGGAGCCTCAACCCTAAAATTTCAGGGTTTTGGCTCCCGAACGACATGCCCTCCATGTGGGGTTTATTTTTTTCCTTGCCCGCGGTCAGCTTGCCACCTCATTAAACTGCCAGCTGGCGCTGGCAGTTGAATGAACCTTTCAGAAGGATCGCGTCGCGACTTGAGTGAGTCGAGGCGGCTTGTTCTGGAACAACCGAGGATTCTCGCCATCACAATCACGCCAATCTTTGACGCTCCACCCATCGTTGGCCGCTCTACAAATATGCAGGAATCCCTGAGTCTGGCACAAATACCTGATATCTCAAGTACGCATCTGGTTATTTCATAACACTCGCTGCTCGAACTCCCAGTACTAAATCGTCTGCGCCAGCTTACTAATACTTACAATCGCGACTGTACTTTCAAATATTGGGCGCCGTAGTCGTTAGCACCCACTTCCTTTAAGCAGCTCTTTTCGAAACGATAAGCCACAATGGCCTACTTCTCTCTGCAAGCACTGACAAGCCACACCAGCGTGCGGGAAACTCGCAAGTCTCATACCATAATGTCGCAGAGAAAGCAGCAACAGCAGTCCGACGCCTCGTCGCAGCTTGAAGCGCAGATGCGATGGGTCGACCAAGCCCCAGATCTTTGCTCATCGCCCATGTCGCCGACGTCGCCCTTGTCGCCGTGGTCACATAATCAGGTCCTTCCGATTCGAACAGCGCGCCTCGAAACGCTCTTTTCGTTGGACTCTCACGTCTTAGGATCCTGTCAGTTCGGGACCGTGCGGCGCTGCAACGAGTGGCTCACAGGCGCGCGCTTTCGCGTGCAGACGATCTCAAAGGACAGGCTTAGAAGCGAGGCGGAGCGGGAGGAGTTGCGGCGGGAAGTTGCGCTGATGCAGCAGGTTGGCGCAAGCGGAGCGGGGGAGGCGCAGGGAATGGCGCATCCCGGGGTGGTACAGTTGTGCGGAGTTTTCGAGGACGAGCATTCAGTGCATTTAGTCATGGATCTGTGCGAAGGCGGCGAACTGTTTGACGAAGTCGTGCGACGCGGGCGACTGAGCGAACACGACGATGCAAACGTGTTCGCGCAGGTCGCATCGGCAGTCGCACACTGCCACACGCGAGGCGTCTTCCACCGCGATCTCAAGCCCGAAAACATCTTGCTCACGCACGACCCCTCCGCACCGTTCCCCACCGCACCGCTAACCACAAAACTCGCGGATTTCGGCCTCGCGGTTCCCCTGCAATCAGGCGATCGCGCAAAGGGCGTCGCGGGATCTCCGTTCTACATGGCGCCTGAAGTTCTCCTCGGCGAATACGCTTTAGAAGCCGACGTCTGGTCCCTGGGCGTAATCCTGTACATCTTGCTCTGCGGCGCGTCGCCTTTCTGGGGCCCGAAGGATAAAGATGTGTTTGTGGAGGTGCTTAAAGGTGTAGTGGATTTTAGTGGCGAGGAGTGGGCGGGAGTGTCGGAGGAAGCAAAGCGGCTCATGCTGTGCCTGCTGCAGAGGGATCCCCAGCGACGCCCCACTGCCGCGCAGATTCTTTCCCATCCCTGGATCCTCCGGCATCGCCAAACCAGCGTGGTAGGTTCAGAGACAGGCTCAGTAGCAGGTTCGGGTTACCCGTTGGCTCTGGGTGTAGGTTCGGATTTGAGGGCAGGCGTGGAAGCAGCTTCTGCGATGGTGGTGTGACACCAGATGTGGTATTTATTCTTGTTCTCCAGGTGTGCATTTGTTGCCGCACTTCCTCCCACCTCACTGATGTTTTGCTTGGCCTGGCAATCACCCTAAGCCTGCCTGCTAAGCATGCTATTGTACAGCTTTGGAGGCTTGCCTAAGTGGCTCGTCGACCTGCTTAGCTGCTGCTTCTGTAAAAACTCCCACAGCTACTAGTTCTATCATGTTCAAATACCCTAAACAATATTGGTTTTTTATTAGATGGGTTATTCAAGTTCAGAGGTCGACCCTTATCTCGGAAGCAAGAACTCGGAGTGAGAATCGAAAGCAGGAGCGCATGGAGTACAGTATAAAGGAACAGCACATGAACAGTTACACCAATCATGAATGGCCTAGCCAGACACAGAATAAGTATCACTGCTGTTCTCCTAGAACTGATTTTACTCTGCTGCACTGTCAATACACTGAGTTCACATGCAACTCATGGCCACTGCACCCATCCCTGTATTCTTTGCTTTGAAAGGTCCCCAGAGCCCAGCACAGCCACTTGTACCGTGGTATCACCATAAAGGAGCAGCTCTTCTCTCTCTACGGTTCGGACTCTTCCATACCAGTGCCACCACCTACGTAGTCAGCTCAGTGCTACAGGGCATTCAGCAGCGCCATGCGGGCCCACATTGCACAGCACACGGCCGTCATAGTGCTGCTGAGCTGAGAGCAGTCACTCGTGGTATCGTTACCAAGGAGCAGCTCTGCTTTGTTCAACTCTGCAACCACCACCCACCACGCCTGCCTGCAAGCAGCGCTAAGCAAGGTCCACATTGCAGCACCACAGACGTCATGGAGCTGCAGCCACTTGTGTGTACATAAAGGAACTGCTCTGCTTTCCTCATTTCCGCAGCCACTGCCAACACCATGCCTACAATCACCATCCCTACCATCATCACTAGGTGGGGTCCACATTGCGCAGCACCACGGACGTCATCGAGCTGCCCAGCGCCGCCACTTGTATCGAAGCTGGGACATCAGAGTAGCTCTGGGTGGCCACCAGCGTGTTGTTCTCCGTCGCTGACGTGCGATACGTCTCCAACATGCACTCCTGACCCGCGTCAAACGGCTCAAACTTCTCGAATTGAAACGTCGCAGTGTGCGGGGTGTCGCGCTGGTTGACGATGAAGATGGACACAGAGTGCTGGTCGGGATGGAAGAAGGCCGCAATGCAGTGCTGACAACCGCCGGACGTGTCGATTCGCAGAGGAAGGCTTCCTCGCGGCGCCCCGCGCACAAACTGCTGCAGCATGTAGAGCTTCTTGGAAATCACCAGATCCAACGGCTTGACTTCTGTGTCGTTCAGCCGGTAGATCCTGACCGCCAATAGCCCCCATTTCAGGAACGCGTCTGGGTTAGTAGCCACCCCACTCACTGCCTGCCAGAAAATCCAAGCGGAAGCCCCCATGATGTTCACAGCCTGCACTATCTGCCGTGCTGTGAACAGCATCACACCCACATCATTGCCGACCACCCACATCGGCCCCACCTCCGACATCCACACCTCCTTGCCAAGCCCGGTCGCCATGCGGTGCATTCCCACCATCACGCCTTCCATGTACCGCCGTGTATCCGTCGTGTTGGGCGGCGGCGGAATGTACCCGTGCACATTCAGCCGAAAAAGGCCGGCCTTCACTGCAGCAGGGAACTTGTATGTATACCGGAGAGTGGCGCCGACGAAACTGTCAAACCCCGCGACTTTCGTTGGGAGCTTTCGTTTCTGGAGGTTGGCGGTGAGGAGGCGAATGAGAGTGCTCAGCTGCTCAGGGCTGTAGTTGCACCCCTCGTTCTTCGAACCCTGCGACCACCACCCTTCCAGCGCCTCATTTGAAGGGTTCATCGTGGAAAACGTCACGTTCCAGTACCTGCGGTAGTGCTCGATCACAGACGCTTGGTAGTCCGAATACGCCTGGAAATACTCAGGCTTTAAATTACACTTGCCCTGTTCAGTCCCGGCCGTGTCCCCGCTGACCGTCATCCACCAGGGCGGCGAGTATGAAATCGCCTCCACCTCGTCCACATTCCGCGCCAGGGCGGCGAGCATCGTCCGTCTCTGCCGCCCGTCCGCCGTCCAGTTGTAGGGATCGTTTGGCCGGACGCGGAAGCCGGGGAGAGAGCGGGTCTCCCAGGCGGCGGTGAGGAACTGGGGGCTGTTGGTGTAGTTGACGCTGCCGCCTATGAGGTAGCGCGCGAGGTTGAGCCCGATGCCCTTGTCCTTGTCAAACAGCAAATCCATTATGAGATTGAACTGGTCGTCCGGCAGCTTGCCCACGTAGTTGGCGAACCTGAGAACCGAGGTGCATGGGGCATGGGCAGGCAGGAGGCATGCCGCACGAAACATAAGAGAGTTGGTCGTCTGGTAGCTTGCCCACGTAGTTTGGCGAACCTGGGGGGGCATGGAGTAGTGAGCCATGGGACATGAGGCATGGCATGGGGCATGGGGCATGAAGCATGGGGCATGGGGCATGGAGCATGGGGCATGGGGCATGGGCAATGGAGCATGGGGCATGGGGCATGGAGCATGGGACATGGAGCATGGGGAATGGAGCATGGGGCATGGGGCATGGGGCATGGAGCATGGGGCATGGGGCATGGCATGGGGCATGGGGCATGGGGCAAGTGGCATGAGATACGAGGCAAGAGGCATGGGGCAGGGAGCATTAGAGAGCAGGTTCGTAATGTGAGTGAACTGGTCGTCCAGGAGCTTGGGCACCTAACTGGCGAACGTGTGAGGCAAGGGGGAAGGCGCAAGGGGCGTGGGATGTGGGTTATGGGATGTAGCCATGGGCAATGGGATCGAGCATGGGGTATGCGGCAAAGCGCATGGGGCATGAAGCATGGGGCATGGAGCATGGGGCATGGAGCATGGGGTATGGAGCATGGGGTATGGACCATGGAGTAGGGGACAGGGGACAGGGGACATGGGGCATGGGGCACGGGGCATGGGACATGGGGCATGGGACATGGGGCATGGGACAGGGGGCATGGGACAGGGGGCATGGGACAGGGGGCATGAGACAGGGGGCATGGGACAGGGGGCATGGGACAGGGGGCATGGGCAGGGGAGGTTGATGCATGCACGCGCACGGAGGGCCTGGAATGGAATGGGCATTCAAGCAGGTACCCTTGCCAGCTAAGCAGGTAGTCTTGCCAGCTAAGCAGGTTAGGATGCCAGCTAAGCAGGTTACCATGCCAGGTATGCAGCTCACCATACCAGGCAAGCAACTCACCATGCCAGCGAGGTTCCCCAGCCTCGCCACGTCTGTCCGTTCCAATCAGGGGCGATGGTGATGGTGGAGGTGGCTGTGAGGCGTGCGGGGAAGGAAAGAAAAGGGACGACAGGGGAGGTGAGCGAAGGGATAGAAAGAGAATGGGGAGTGAAGATGGTGAAACGGCCTCTCCACGTCTGTCCGTTCCAATCGGAGATGGTGGTAGGAGGGCGCTACGGGGCGAGGCGACACAAAGGAAGGGACTGGTAAGGAAAAGAGAGAAGAGGAAAGGAAGGGGAGGAAAGGGAAACAAAGAAATGGGAAAGAACTGGTAAGGGAGATAAACGGAAGGAGAGACGACGCTGGGCCAGTCACGGCACCTCTGTGCCGCGGGGCGATGGTGCTGGTGAAGGGCGGTGAGGAGACGAGAGGTGAGGCGAGGAGAGACGAGAGCACCGTGCCGGATGGTTGAGGAACAGGAGCCAACCGCTGGAACGAACAGATCAGAATTTTAAGAGGAAGCTTAACTAACGCAGTCAGGACATGGGGACATGAGAATATGGGGACATGGGGCATGGGGCATGGGGAGAGTCGAGTGGGGGACTGCAGGAGTCAAGGCACAGTGAGGGCGTGACGAAGATGCTCTATAGTCACAGCGAGCGACGCTGGCTATCAGAGCACAGCCTCGGCTGTCACCTGATTCAACCTTCACTCCCGCTCGTCCTCCCAACCATCAACTCTATAGCGCGGGTATCTCCCTCCCAGATCTGGTCGCGCGTATGATCGCATCAGAAGGTCTCAGCCGCGCGACAGTGGCCCCATGACTCCCCCCGTAATCCCGTTGCCCCCAATGTTCCCCCCTTGCCCCCATCTTTCCCCACTTGCCCCATTTTCCCCCCGTCGGCCCCAGCCCTGATTCGGTAAGAATATCCCTCCCTTCCCGAGGCCCTCCTGTTCTTGCATCACGTAAACGAAACTCTATATCGCGGATATCTCACCTCCAGATCTACACACGACAATGCCCCTATCGGGTGTCAGCCGCTTTTTGAGTCGACCAGAATATCGTTTTTTGAGTCGTCTCGTAAACGGAGCTCTATATCGAGGATATCTAACCTCCGGTTCGACACACGCCAATGATTTCATTGTCGGGTGTCAGTCGCGCCTCGTTCCCCGCGGGCGGAGTGCTCCCCCCATCCCCCTCGTCTGGCCGGTCGTCGGGAGGGGGAGGGGGAGGCGCGGAAGCCTGCGCAATCACCACGCCTACGGAAGTTAGGCTTTGCGCGGTAGCTTGGAGGTGCGCGGAGGAAGAGGCCGCGGAAGCCACGCGCGCGGATGTTCCGCCTTGCGCCGTCGTTATGCGCGGCAGCCAGCACTCCTGCGCGGCCGGCCACAGCAGCATCCACTCCGCGTCGCACTCGCCCGCACCGGCGCCGCTGGCGGCGGTTGAAGCCTCCAGGGAGCGCCCATGCGCGGCTGACGCCGGCGCTTCCCCATCCGCAGGCTGCGAAAATACTTCCGCCGCTTCTACGGGCCGCCCCGACTTCCGCCCGAACACGTGGTGCTGACGCGGCAGCGACCGCACTGCATGGGTTAAGCGGAAGATCAACGGCGGGTGCCACGCGCGGGGCAGCGGAGTGTAGACGCTGGTGCTGTTCGCGTCGCGGTTCCTGGTCACGGGCTGAACTGAGGCAGGCGGTAACTGCGCGCCGATGGCAGCGGCGCGGGTGGCTGAGCAAGGCGAGTGAGGAGGGGACGAGG